AAATATACAGGCTGCAGTGGAAGTGTGTATATGTATGTACTCCCAACTACTGAACCCCGAAAGTGTGTCCTAAAGATTGCGGATAGAGCTGTTCATTAAATATACCAAGTCTATAATAAATTATCAGGTAGAATAAAAACCTTGCAAATTCTTTATTAGTGCATCAGTATTGAGTGTATGTCACCTTGTCTAAAGTAAGTACTGTTTTCAAATGCAACAAGCCATAGAAATTCAAGCCTGTATATCTATCTTTAGTCAGTTACAGATAATTTATTTTTAAATCTCTATGAAATATATTTGGCCTTAAGGTATTTTTTCTAGTTGTATCGAAGTGCAAGCACCTGTATTTTTTTTTCTGCTTTGCAGCTTTCTTCCAGAAACAATGGTTGGCAGCATGTGCTACATTCCATTGTTAGTGCTCTACCGGCAGATCCTCGGCGATGTGCTTTTGAAAGAAAGAGTAAGCATGCAGAACACAGGTAAGGATTTACAGTGTTACGCTCCGGTGATGTTTGTAGAAGGGTGAGACACAGGATTTTACACAATGACTCGTTAAACAGTTTCTGAAAGTACCTTCCAAGTGTATTTTTATTCCAATTACTTCAGAATACATATATATATATCTCAAAAGCAGCATAGAGTGTGATAAAAGCAAATTCAATAGGATAAATGTGGCAATGGTCCCTCAAAGAGAGAAGTTTCAGCCAACTATTAATTGAAGCATAGATAACAGAGTTTCCTAGATACTCACTGAGAAACTAATTAACAGCAGACAAACCCCAATCGAAATGTACTTTTATTCCATAATGTCCAATAAAGTTTTATGTGAGTTGCCTTGACTGACGTAGACAGAGGAACTTGGGGACAACCAACAGGTCACTTTACACTTTTAAATACAGAGTATAAAATGTGTGTACGCACAACTGTGAAATGAATGTTAGCATTGTTCATGAGGCATATGTACTTAACACAAACACATATGGCTAATAAGTGATGCACATACTTTTTAATCAGCTGTGGTGTTACATGGTTTATAAGTGACACTCCCTCAAAAATATATACGTAGTGTTAGCCACTATCACACTTACATACCTAATCAGCCGCTTTCCAATACACACATGCTTACTCTTTCTAAACTAGCCATACTCTCTCACACCTTATTAGCCACATGCTCATACTTGCACAAACATACAGAAGTAGCTATTGAAATATATTGTTTAAAAAAAAAAATTACATTCTTTATTTTTGCAGGTGAGCAAGTAATGCTCGTGAAATAAATGACATATGCATAGTATGACACAATGTTGAAAGCTAACATGTCAGGGATCCACACCCATTTTTAGATATACATAATAAAGACTTTGGTAAAGCGAGGTCAATATACAGTAGTATATATGAAAGTGTAAACCATGGCAGCCATCAAGACCAAGGAAAAAAAAAAAGATAATAAGGCATTTAACCTGGGGTATGCGTGTGTGAAAGAGATGTGTCTGCAGATTGCCTACTGGTACAAAGATATCATATGGTGAATAACACCGAGAAGTGTATCTGGGTATTAATGAGCTTCATAACCCCGAAGTCCAAGAAAGGGGGGGAGAGGGAGGGATGTTATGGAAACTATTCCTTAGCATTGGTACATTGCTTAGGTACTATTGTGTTTCTTAGAGGACAGTTGACCAGTTATATCCCTGGGAGTCAATGCCTTGTCCTTGCAGCCCCCTGGTAGTCGGTACAGTCTGTCCAGCAGAATTCCTTTGGCTTGCTTGGGTGTCAAGGCAGCTGTGAGTAGTCTTCTGATGCAATGAGGTAATTCTCCAGTATCTATTGCATCAGGGATACCCCGAATTTTCAGGTTTCGTTGCCGTGCTAAGTCTTCTAGGTGTTTAATATCTCATGTAAGTGAATATTAGTGGAATGTTGTTTGAGTCCAAGGTTTTGAAAGTTATCCTCTCTGGCTTTGATTCTGCCTCCTAGTGTGCTTAGGTCAGCCTTTAAGGTCACCATTTCTGAGGCAAAGAATGTTTTGATTTGTGGTGACGTCAGTTTTGGTAGCCTACTGTGGGTCAGGTTGCTTCTAGGAGAAGGCTCTGCTGCTGCTGGGCTGTCACAAGATCCTCTAGATTCGGGTCCTCGTCTTCCAAGGCGCAGATGGAGCTGCGAGGTGAGTCAGGGAGCAAGTCCACCATCTTAGGCCTGTCTGGTTGGCAGAGCAAGAGGCCAATATCTTGGGGTTTTTGGGAATGCTTCCCCATGTCCTCTCCTGTCTTGTGGGACCTCAGTGGGGTATCGTTGTAGAGGGTAAAATATAGGCAGTTACCCGTCACTCTGTCAGAGCTCAGAGATCTTGCTACCGCTCAGCTTGGTGGCTAGCTCTGCCCCCTTAAATTTATTGTTTTAACCGATCACACATGCATTTACATCCATATTAAACACATACACCTAATTAACGCTACACATACATACATTAGAAGACATTCACACACCCAACGGAAGAACAAGTTGCAGTATACTTGGCTTTATTTCACGGTTTGTAGGAAAAATAATTTCTGCCGTGATAATTGGTTGTTTCATAAAACCAAAAAAAATCTTTACATTAAAACTATATATTTAATGACTAGTATCCCGCTGCTTTAGGCTCAAGTCAAATTGAATTATGACTAATTACAAATTTCCATATATACATGTAATTGGGTTCTAAAGACAATTTAAAATTACTCAGTATGCCAATTCCAGTATACCTGTTGTGAGGATACATCAGCAGGTAAAAACTGCACTGTCAGGCGGGTTCAAATGAGTTCTCGATAAATCCGCAGAATAAGTAATAAGTAAATCCTTCAATATAATTACAATCAAAGTCTATGGTTATACTAATTTAATTAAATCATAGTGAAGGGTTGCTCTATATTCTTGTTCTCTGGAACATCTATAATCGTAACATTTGCAGCTGCTTGCAGCCTTACGAACAATACAGAATATCAGTTAAAGAGCCTTGAAATTTTCAACTTATTAATTCATTATACGCATATGGAATTTAGAGGAACCGCTGTAGTGTTTAAGCTACACATCGTGTTCTCTGCTTGGCTTCTCCCATCGCTCCTCCCAGTAAAAGCAATTAAAGTAATTTGTGCGATTGCATCTTTCAGGTTTTATAATTATAGGTTTCCATAAATAACGAACACTTGCTTATTAATAGAGTTTGTGACAATTTATATTTGATAGCCATTGAAAAGACTTTACAGCGTTTTGCTGATTGATACGTGTGAGACGCTTTCCAGCAGTGTGTACAATTCACAAACTCACAGCAGAATGTCTGTTATTTCGAATGATTTTAATTACACCCTATATTTAACCAGATTACCCAGGAGAGGGATTCTGAAACTCTTGTCTCTATTATAGAAAATTCACAATGGGATTTGTGCTGCTGTATCTTCCATTGCCACTGGAGATTGCCCAATAAATTTCAATATGCAGTACGCTTTAAATAATCGCTCACAAAGAAGCCTTTGTAAAGGGTCAGTTGTAATATGGTTTTATAATGGTTGACTGCGGCACCATCGCTCCACTTCCAAACACTGAACGGTATACTTGGTTTAAAGTGATTATTGGCCTCTCAGTGACTTAAACGTAAATGTCTTATTTGAGCGGTGAGGAAAAAAATTTTTGGCACAGCCTTTGTCGTGTGATACAGCATCCACTTCCTAATAACCTCACTTGGGTACCTAGAAATTATTTTACTATTTTCTAAAACTATATATTTATACCGCTTCATATTTTCCTTCAGTAGAATGTTCTTTGGTTTTCATCCATTGCTTGACCAATAAATTGTTAAACAGTTGCAGGGTTATTTACTAAGATGACAATTGTCATGAATTAAAAGTAAATTTTATATTTAAGGCCAACATAGCTGAACTGAGAGTATTGTTGACTGACATTTTTCCATTCAGCTATTGTGGCATCAAACTGGAAATTCAGTTTGACTTCCCAGCAATTCTCACTTTAGTGAATAACCCTGTTGGAGTTTTTCCTGCTGAAATTGTAACAGCGCTTTTATTTAATAATTTAAATATTAAGTCAAATGGTTAAGTAATTGTGTTCTTGTTATGTAATCTATTTAATCTGGGTACAAAAGAAAAATACTTAAATACAATTTCCAGGTTCACTCTAAGCACCATAACCATTACAGCGTCGTGTAGTGGTTATGGTGCCAGCATGCCCCTAAGGCCATCTTCCAGTTTTGTATCAAAACATTTTCAGTTTGGTAGAGACAATGTGTAGCCCACGTGCTTTAACATTGACATTTGGGATGGAACCAAGGGCATATTGGAAGCATAACCACTACAGGGTTCTTAGGTGGTTATGGTGGATAGAGTGTCCCATGAAAATATAATACAAAGTGATACAAGAGAACTAAACCACAAAATACGACGCAGTGGCTATACCTCGTTCCCACAGGGCGAGAAAGGGTGTCACAGCATAAAACCTCCTATATGGAGGACTGTCACCTAAACTGTGCTCTCCAAGGGGATAACCCACAAAAACTTGACACAAATAAAATAAATCCCAGTATGATCCACAAACAGGAGGGATCGGACTGGGAGAGAGAACAGAAAATAGGAAAAAAGAGCAATATATGCTACTAATATAACTTAATCCACATCTGATTAAAAAATGGGTAAAATTGTGACATTAGATAAATGTCGAGAAGAAGGAGCCTTCATTTAGTCCATGGGGGGACAAAGTATTTAGTTTGCATATCCAAAAAGCTTCCCTCTGTCGTAATTTTTTGTCCCAATTGCTATTGCTCTTTTTTCCTATTTTTCTGTGCTCTCTCACAGTGCGATCCCTCCTGTTTGGGGATCATACTGCGATTTTTACAAGAGAACTAGTCAGGAATCAGAAGTTATATTTCATATATACATTTTTCACTATTTGGACACATTTTCCTATATTAATGTATTATCCTAAGAAAAACCAAAGAAAAGAGTTACCTGCGCACTACCCTAAATCCCTATGCATATTTAAACAATTAGAGTTTTTTTGTTTCACTCCAGTGGCCATTAGGTGTAAGCCCACCTGCCACGTAAAGGCAGACCTAAAGGTGGGTCCTAAACTAACTATTCACCTTGTTTCCTTCAGTTTCAGGCCAAAAAATCTCTGAGACAGAAAGGGGTATTTTTCTAAACACCTACATACTTATTAACCATGAATAGGGACAACATGGGCTGGGCAGCAGCATTGTACCATGGCTGTGTCATACAAAAGCATTATCCTATTAGTCCCTTTTTATTTTCCTCCTTATATTTTGAATATTTGAAAGCTGTGAACTACATAGAGAGTTAGAAAGGATCTATTTTTTTTTTAATTTGTCTTAATTGGCACTTTCCAGAAGATGGCAGTAAACATAGAAAGAAATATTAGTGAGAGGATTGCATGATTACATTAAATTGCTTGTTTATCAAAACCACTCCTGTTCTTTCCACATCTGCTTGCTTTCTTACTAACTAACTTTAATTTAACATGTTCAGGTGACAAGGCGTTGGTCAAATAACTTTGTATCATGACAGCCTTAGCAAGTCATTTCTTGTGAATGAGTAAAAAATGTTTGTACATATGCTTTGCAAACCTTGGGATGCCTTCAAAGTACACATTGGTTTATAGACGTGTCCTCATGAGGCTTGAAACGCCATAAATGTATCAATATTTGTCTGACATTGCATTTCTCACATTAAACATTAAACCACTATGTTTCTTAATTATTTTACTTATCTTTGAACTGCGTATATAACAACATGGCATTCCTTTGTGGTTGTAGTGTAACTAACACATTCCTTTAGCAGTAATCTTTACCCTACTTTGACAGTTGAAATGTACAGCATTTTTGTTCTGAAACATACCTTGTGTGACTGTATGGTAGTGGCAGAAAAAAAAATATTGATCATGGATTACAAACTACAGTTTCACTCAACCTAATATAATGCATGTATATGACTGTAATAAATTAATTCCAGGTATTTGCCGTTGGATAGTTGACAGGATAAACGTGTTTAATATTTGTTTAAATTCTAATTTCTTTATTCCAGATCTGATTTGTAACCCTGTTTTGGCCACATTTCCTCGAGTAATTGAGCAGACTGATATCATGGATGCTCTGAGGGTATGTCAGTGATGCAAACAGAAAATATTCTAATGACTTACGCAATGAATTTAAAGGGGTTGACTATATCCACCCTTCACATCTAACATGCCCACAAACTGCCCCCTCCCACCCTAAAAAAATCTTGGTATGCAAATCAACCTAGGTTGAATGCATAATTTATGGGGTGTGTGATTTGCCAGCATGATATATCTCTGTGTTTTTGAAGCCAGGGATCCCAAATCTTAGCACATGTTGCAATATTAAATAAGCTGACAAGTTTTCTGTGGTACAGATGTACTACAAGTGCCCCAATACCATACATAGTACTGTGGCTGGCTTTACCAACTCTTGGCAATACACAGCCTTACCAAGGTATTTACCATATGTATCACTTTAAGAGATACCTTGAAGAATCTACCATGCGGTGCCAGATTATTGGTATGTCCAGGGCTATTAAATAGGGTATCCCTGGCTCAGGGCTAATGGTGTTCCTTTAACCCCTTGAGGACCAAACTTTTGGAATAAAAGGGAATCATGACATGTCACACATGTCATGTGTCCTTAAGGGGTTAAAGTTAACCATTAACTTTACTAAATCCACCATTATACAGTTTTGCATGCCTAATAAACATAGATAATATATACATGCTAATTGGTTGCCACATAATTTGTGTATTTTCACATAATTTGTGTATTTTTTTCCTTTTGAACAAATTCCTTAAAAGAAAATCAAAACATAGGTTTTATTAAAAAAAAAAAAAAAATATATATATATATATATATATATATATATATATATATTTTTTTTTTTTAAAGATTAGACGTATTACTAGCTTACAATGCAAGGAAAAAGAAAATGAAATTCCTGCATCGATTGCTGTTGAGAAATTCCAAAATTATTCAAACCAGGTAGATAAACTGGAGAAAATGATCTTATAATTTATTTGGTTAACTGTTGCACATATATTAGAACAGGCTTCCCCAAACTCTGGCCCTCCAAATGTTGCTGAACTACAACTCCCATGATTCTCAGCCTATCTGTTTCATTCATAGCATCATGGGAGTTGTAGTTCAGCAACATCTGGAGGTCCGGAGTTTTGGGAAGCCTGTTGTAGAAGCACATGTGTAATTAGTTAATATTGTTATTTAAAGGACCACTATAGTCCCACTCTCGCCGGGCTCTAGGGAGAGGAAAGGGTTAAAACTTACCTTTTTTCTAGCACCGGGCGGGGAGCTCTCCTCCTCCTCTCCGCCTCCGATCCTCCTCTTTGGCTGAATGCGCATGTGCGGCAGGAGCTGTGCGCGCATTCAGCCAGTCTCATAGGAAAGCATTCATAATGCTTTCCTATGGACGCTGGCGTCTTCTCACTGTGATTTTCACAATGAGAAGCACGCAAATGCCTCTAGCGGCTGTCAATGAGACAACCACTAGAGGCTTTAGAGGCTGGATTAACCCATTTATAAACATAGCAGTTTCTCTGAAACTGCTATGTTTATTTAAAAAGGGTTAATCCTAGAAGGACCTGGCACCCAGACCATTTCATTAAGCTGAAGTGGTCTGGGTGCCTAGAGTGGTCCTTTAATAATTAAAATGATTATGAATTGTCTCATGTCTCCCAGACTTTCTGAAGGTTTTAGAACAATTAGTAAATAACAAATAACACTTTTACAATAGTTATGGCACAATAGCCTGTTCATTTAATTTTATAAGAAATCTGCTTTAAAGCTTCTCAGCCTGACAGTAGGCTATACAAATGGTTCCAAATATGGCTGTAATACCTTTTATCAACAAATGACCGTTTGAGATAGTAGGATGAATAATATTGGAATGTAAGCAAGTTATCTTTTTCTTTATATCATGTCCAAATTGTAAACCTAGACAATTATACATAGGAGAGCTACCCAGGGTCGGATTAACATAGAGGCTGATGGAGCTTCTATATCCACTACATACACTTTTTGCTCTGTCCCAGACTGTATAACAGGAGCTTCTGCCTGCTGGTAAGAAGGTTAGGAGAGGAGTGGTCCAGCAAGTGCTAGAGAACAATCCTTAGAAGCATAGAGCTAGCGCATCATTAGACGCATTTATGCCAAGCTCAGTGTGCTGTCTGCACAGTATACCCTCGGTTGGTCATCCTGCATGATTGGCAGACAGCCTGAAGGGCATTCACACCAGGTTGCCCATCAAATTCTTCATGCAGATATGCCCCCTTTTTGGGCATATTTGTCCCTCTGAGCAGTTCTGGTGACGTGATTACATCAGTTATATCAGTGGCTCACTCTTTTACCTTGCCCACCGACATTCTGCTTCACCAGACACCGCTGTTAAGAGGTATGGATTTACTTGAAAGATGAAAGTGAGAGATTAGCATAGGGTATGTGATTTCTGATAGCTATAGCCTGTGAGTTTCCCTCCAGCACCACCTCCACCGGATACATGACCCTTGGGAGGTATGACTGTTTTAGTGTTTACTGTCGATAAGATTCTGTAAACAGACCCATCATAATTGTCAGCACCAGGCCCAATGGGCTCATAATCCGGCCCTGTAAGCTACCAATGTATAGGTGTTGCTGATAATGAAAAGTATGTCTCTGTATGGGTAGTTTAATATATTTAATGATGCAGAATCATTTGTGACATTTTACAGAAGAGCTTTCCATACAGAAACTGTAGTACAAGTGTAATTCAGTTTTCTACTAACGAATCTTAAACCAACATACAGCAGTATTATAATAATTTTCTTCCGATGTGATTCAGATGGCAGTAAGGAGACTAATTAGAAATTAGTGCAAAACTATTGTCAGGATTAGTTGAAGACACTGTCTCCAGCCCGTCTATGACTGCTGAGGAATGTGCAAGAAAATCCCACTCATTGGTAAAATCTAGTATAGTTATGTTTATAAGCATTGGCAGTTAATCTGAAATCTATTTCGTCTGCTTTTTAATGTTATCCTCCTAACCTTGTGGGTAATTACTATCCAACTGTCAATCTTTGACAACGACTCAGAAATCCATGGGGATGAGCAATTAATACGATTCTTAAAGAGTGTGTTGTTAAAGGAACACGTCAGCGTGTTGTGAGATTTTATTTATTTAATTCCAATGTAGTAAAAGTTTGTAAAACATGAACAAAATTGAAATAAAGGAACACTCCAGGCATATAAAGCTATTATAAAAGTGCCGGCTTGGAGTGGAGGTCTGAAGGGGAGAAAGATAGAGGGGTTATGGGGGAGGGGGGGGGGTGGAGTTCCTATTCCCCCTTTCCCTTCTTAAAAAAAACTTTTTGTGTTGTGTTTGTTATTGTTTAATTTATTTGTAACTGTGTCAAAAAAGAGAAATAAAGTTTGAATACAAATAAAAGTGCTTAAACTCCTTTACTGTGTTAACCTCTACCACTTCAGCTGGAAGGCTATTTCATGCATCCACTACCCTCTCAGTAAAGTAATACTTCCTGATATTATTTTTAAACCTTTGCCCCTCTAATTTAAGACTGTCCTCTTGTTGTGGTAGTTATTCCTTTTCTTAAATATAGTCTCCTTCTTTACGGTGTTGATTCCCTTTATGTATCTAAATGTTTCAATCACATCCCCCCTGATATGGGGGGATGTGGGATTAATTTCTGTTAGCTCTGGCACTACAGTTCATTGAGAGTCCAAAGGCTCCAGCTTAGATGCTTCTTAATAAGACTCCTCTGACTAGTCTGTGTTTTTTTTTTTAGCTTAGTAACATACTTCTAACCTGGCTTCTTCGTTCCTTTTTAATGTCAATGTAATTTTTCTTTTGACAAACCTAGAGTGGATGGGCTGAAAAACAGAACTCTATGAAGAGATCAGAGAAGGTAACAATACATCTTGTTTATCATATTAAACCATTATTGTTTTTCTAAGTGTTGTTATTGTTTGGTTAAATTATTCTTTCTTTTTTTTTTAAATCATTAAATATTTTTTATATTTAAATGGAATATTTGCATAGTCCTTGGATTTGGATTAAATGTGGGTAAAATGTGGGTACTCTTTATTTTCACATTGCTTTAAAAGTCTTCCAATCTTTAAACTGAGTTATCTCTTACAAATAGTTGGATTGTTAAAGATAATCACTAGTGCAGTATAGCGTAAATATACAGTTACATTGTAAACACCCCAAACCAGAACACTCAAACTTAAACATGTACTTAAGGGGACACTTCCAGTACCAAAACAACATATGCTCATTGCACAGGTTATAGTGCAAACAAATTCTCTGTCCCCATCTCCTTGAACATGGTGGCTTCTAGCAGCAGTGATCTGCAAATAATGCAGAAGCTATGTCTGCCCTAGTTGTGCCAGATGTTAGCAAAGACTATGCTTCATTTATATTATATATATTTTCTATATACTATTTTGTTAGTGGAATATCTACCAAACAAATGTTAAACTACATATCCATACACTGCTGGTCTTTAATTTCTGCTAAATATAGTGCTCTGTAATGTTAAATATAGCAAGAGTATTTCGTAAACTAAATATAAAATTAGGAATGTCATCACTTTTAAATGCCCAAACTAAATCGAGGAAAAATTATATTTCAAAATATAACATGAATATATAAAATCTAACACAACATTTTTGCCAGTAGCAGGAAAATGCATTTGTATGCTGGTTTGTACTGTTTACAAAGTTAGAGAACACATAGCATGCACAGTAGATCTGTTTATTGTGCCTTGGTATTCTGTTAATGAATCTCTACATACAACAGCTATGTTAAATGCTTTAATATTTAGTTTACATCTGTGACAGTTTGTTTAAGAGCGTGGAAGGGCATGCAGGAAGAGATTGGTGGTGGCTGTTTCAGATATATATAGTATGAAATTATTATGAAAGTAAAATTGTAAATTAAATATGTTAACAATTATATTATTTGCTATTTAGAAGCCTTTATACTTCTTAAATGTTACATTTGTCATTTGATTGTGTTTCATTTGTTAAATGTTTATACTACCTTTGCTAAGAACTCTCTTTCTCTTTCAGAGGGACAAAGAGTTTGTAAAGAATGCTTTTATCCATGTTTATCATGGCACAGCATACCCTCTTCTACAATCAACTGTTCTGCAGGGATCAAAGTGGGCTGATGATGAGGTAGAAGCCTCACGCTGGAAAGTGATTGCTGATTTCCTAAAACAAAACCGAGAGAAAGATGGATCTCTCCACTTCCTGCTGTCTCCTGACAACATTCACAAGCCTTTTGACATCTCAGAAGTAACATATGATTTTATTGATGCAGCCAGGAAACCGTTGCTTTCATCATGACAGTAGCAAAACCTACTACAATAGACAATACACCGTGATTTTACTAGATGTTGCTATTGGTAATGTACAATTACACAGTAATCACTTTACAGAAAACAAATATGCCAGTTATGTTTGTGCAATTTGTATAATTATTACATGGCAATGTTTGTATTACTGCTTTTTAAAACATGTTGCTATATATATACATTTTGTTTGTTTTTTCCAAGTATTGCTTATATGATTATTTATGCACCTTTATATAAAATATCAGTGTAATATTGTTACAGTTTGAATGTGCTATTTGCTTCATCTTATTCCTTAACTTCTGTTCCTGATGACCTTAAAGTTAAACTCAAATTGCGAAGCTGGAATGATCATTCCATCAAGAATTAGAGCTTGTTTTACGGAGCAAAAAGAATAATACTTCTAAAATATATATTAAAAAAATGCAAAGAATACTATTTCTAGCCCGACTCATGGATGGGGCTTTTCTATAGATTAAGGAAGGAGTAATATCAGCTATATATAAAGTAGACATGGTGGTCCTTATCTTTGTTCAAGACTACAAAATAGTCAAACACGGGGGTGGGGCCGGGCCGGGCCGGGCCGACTGGACGCCATGAACATGGGCTCCAGCACTAACCTGAGCCAAAAGGCATATGAAACCAATCCTGGCTGCTTAAAAGTCGGACATCACGACAGCAATGCACAGGGAGTGACCCCGGCACATCGCAGCTGCCGGCATTAAACTTATCGCAAGCCGGGCCAGCAACAGAGGACGTGCGCGGCCCACACGAGGCAGAGCACAAGACCGCCCACGGCTGCAACACGCAGCAAGGAACTGCAAAGAGGCACAACCCCCGAGACACCCGATCGGGAGATACCGCACAGATGAAATCCCCAGGTGGAGGCTCACCCCAGGCCCGGGGTGCGGCGCTGCCCCCCCTTGGCCGGCGGGGGTTATCCCGGCTGCATGGCGGCGACCCGCGACACGACAGGGGCTCCCGCGTGGAGTGCGCGCTGGCCGCCTACACTGGCAAAGGCTGTGGAAGAAACAGCAAGTCAGCAGAAGAAGACACAGACACGGAGGGGAAAAGAAAGCTCTGGTAGAGTGACATACAGATCCCAAACTGCTCATTGCCTGAAAAAACGGCCCACCAAGAGCCTGGATGAGATGATCAGGAACTGACACGGGGAAGTTCACCAGCACTGGTATGGAGGCGCTTCATTACAGCTTCACTCACCCAGAGGGCCGCAGCACAACTTAACATGGGGGACTGACATGGACGGCTCGTGCAGGCCCAGACGATGCTGAGCGCCAGACGGAACACCCGCGTGGCTCACACGCCGACCGGAGCAGAGAGTACTCCGGTCTCCGGGTATGGGGGGTCCCCGGAAAATCCTGTCCCCACTGTCGTGAGCCCTGTGAGGCGGGAGTGCGCTGACCTGCCGGTGGACTGGTGGCCGGGGGGGTAGTGTACCAACATTAAGTGTGAGGCCGACACTGGGAGAGACACGGGAGTGCCCACTCCATGGGGAACAAATTGATGCTGGGGAGGTGCAGGGGGCAGGAAGGCCAGGGATTTTGTGGTGGGGTCCAGTGGATAATCTCAGCCCCTGAGTGCCCACAGTGCCGCGGAGGACCCGGCCGGTGGGCGGGAGCCGATGTGAGAAGAACGGGCGGAGGCTCGGCGACCTGAGGACTGCACCGTAGCTGAGACATGTGAGGCCTCCCTCAGACTGCCATACACCTCCCGCACAAGTTATACCCAGCCTTGCTTTTTTACTTTTGGTGAAATCCTTTTTTCTACTTTACTGTATCTTACCTGCCTTATATTTTTATATGTATATATTTTTTTTCCATATGCTCTGATACGTACACCCTATACCTCTGCATGAGGTCACTGAGCGACACGCACTATGCAACAAAGACTTTAACATGTGATTATAATGATACTGCAGGGTCTGTTTGGCAACCATTGATTAAGTTAAGTTAACTGGGTAAATAGCTACTAGCCAACCTTTACGTCTCTATCAGATGATGCTCATGCCCTTTGCATACGTAACAGCATGATTGCTGCATTGCACAATGGATATTTACATGTCAAGGCCTCAGACAGGAACCATATGCGCGCATATCATGCTATGCACCAGTATACATGCTCAGTATATTAACTGCACTATATGTCGGACCATGCAGCCTTTAGTTTAAAAGCGACTAGGAATATATTAGAGCGCTCATTCATGCAACGGCCCATACCGTACCACACGTTTAAGCGGATATATGAGCTTATATACAATGCATACAGTTTTTTTCCTTATTCGTTTTCTTCATATCTCTCATCAAGGCATATTTGTGTTCAAGCCCACAAAGCGCTGCTATAAGATACATAACCATGAAGCTTAACACCTACGTGAAGCTAGCTTAAAGGAACACTATAGTCACCTAAATTACTTTAGCTAAATAAAGCAGTTTTAGTGTATAGATCATTCCCCTGCAATTTCACTGCTCAATTCACTGTCATTTAGGAGTTAAATCACTTTGTTTCTGTTTATGCAGCCCTAGCCACACCTCCCCTGGCTATGATTGACAGAGCCTGCATAAAAAAAAACTGGTTTCACTTTCAAATAGATGTAATTTACCTTAAATAATTGTATCTCAATCTCTAAATTGAACTTTAATCACATACAGGAGGCTCTTGCAGGGTTTAGCAAGCTATTAACATAGCAGGGAATAAGAAAATCTTAATTAAACAGAACTTGCAATAAAGAAAGCCTAAATAGGGCTCTCTTTACAGGAAGTGTTTATGGAAGGCTGTGCAAGTCACATGCAGGGAGGTGTGACTAGGGTTCATAAACAAAGGGATTTCACTCCTAAATGGCAGAGGATTGAGCAGTGAGGCTGCAGGGGCATGTTCTATACACCAAAACAACTTAATTAAGCTAAAGTTGTTCAGGTGAGTATAGTGTCCCTTTAATATGTTACATTAGTTCATTATGTGCAGTCTGTGTTGTAATACATACAAATGCATCACTGCAAAGTTTATGTACGTTCATATGTTCAGATCAATTCGCCTCTGCGCAGATGATAATCTGCATTTACCCTTATAAACCGATACTTAAGCCTCTGCGTAGGCGACTGTTCGCGTTAATGGAAATCTGTCTGATGTGAGAACACGATACCAATAAACATATTTAAAACAAAATAGTCAGACACTCTTTGGTCAAGCATATCATCAAGGCCAACTCATACATTTCGCTCATACTAGGCATATACTCGCATTTTTCTCCATTTGAAGATACTGATGTAATTTTAGTCTGTCTTCTCTAAATGATGATGATTACTAGCACATCGCAACACCCATACAAAAGACAGGGCAAACATGTAGATTCTTCTATATTTAGTTAAAAAAATGTTTTATGCAGCAGATAGGTCACAATAAAAGATAAAAAAGAAAAACCATGATTTTCATTTTGATTATTTTTTCACCCTGTGTTGTAATCCTGTGCTGTTATTTAACCATGCAGTAAAAAAGATTGACTTTCTTTAATGTATGTTGGATTATGAGATCAGATGGAGAGTCTGCTCAAGTGCAGCTGAAACTACTGTTCTTGTTTTCTGTACATATTCCAAAAACCAGTCCTTTATACTTCCATACACAAGGGCTAAGAAGTCCTCAAGCCCTGATTTTAGTACAAGCCTCCACTGAATTGATGATGTGAAAACAGAAAGCTTTTGTGGTTGACATCAGCCTTACATCCATCCGTGCACAATCACATACATGATTTTAATTTAAAGGACCACTCTAGGCACCCAGACCACTTCAGCTTAATGAAGTGGTCTGGGTGCCAGGTCCTTCTAGGGTTAACCCATTCTTTCATAAACATAGCAGTTTCAGAGAAACTGCTATAATTATGAATGGGTTAAGCATTCCCCCTAATCCTCTAGTGGCTGTCTCATTGACAGCCACTAGAGGCGCTTGCGTGCTTCTCACTGTGATTTTCACAGTGAGAGCACGCCAGCGTCCATAGGAAAGCATTGTAAATGCTTTCCTATGCGAGGGGCTGAATGCGCGCGCAGCTCTTGCCGCGCGTGCGCATTCAGCCCGGAGGAGGATCGGAGGAGGAGAGCTCTCCCCCCAGCGCTGGAAAAAGGTAAGTTATTACCCCTTTCCCCCTTCCAGAGCCGGGCGGGAGGGGGACCCTGAGGGTGGGGGCACCCTCAGGGCACTATAGTGCCAGGAAAACGAGTATGTTTTCCTGGCACTATAGTGGTCCTTTAAGCAGATGAGGAACTGTATTATGAGCCATATAATAAGACTGCATCCCTTACACATAGCCAGAGCTAAAAAGAAAAACATATTACTGGTCCTTAGGGTGGCGGAAAGCATTATAGTATACAATACAGTCTTTAAATAACACACAGAGAGGGAACAGGTCAGGTGAAACAGAATATCAGGAAAATTATTAAACAGGGCCAAGTCAGAGTAGTTAAAAAGCAAAGCCAGAATAAACACACCAAAATTCAAAAAGCACTCTTGGGTCATCTTGAGACCATGACAGGGCAAAGAGGAATGATTAGAGTGGCTTTAAATAACCACAGATTTGTTCCCATAAACTTGTGTCAGTTATGACACCAAATGTTAAGGGACTCAATGTCAATGAATTGATAAACTCCTCTGCCATTGTAAAATTATGCTAGTATTTGGGTGTATATAATGTATATAAAGTGGAGTGGTTTGTGTAGAAAAAGAAGACAGAAAGAAATACAGCATCGATAGGGGTACAACATACTCCAAAGGGTGCAGGGGCCATGACAGTCATCTCTCTGTCCACAAACATGTTGAACATATTAGAAAGCTTGTTATATTACATATATGCTTGTATTTCCAATTCTCACCTACAGACGGAAAGGGAGTAGGCAGAAATGTTAAATATATTTTTTTTACGATTGCTTCACTGTATTATATACTTACTGTTTTTTGAACTTGGTTTAATTTTTACTTATAAGAATATACAGTGGTACCTCGGTTTACGAATTAAATGCATTCTTCGGGATGTTTCTTTTTGCGAATAATTTGTAAACCGAAATGCGGTTTCCCATAGGAATGCATTGAAAACCAATTAATCCATTCTGGAGGTCAGAAAAAAGTCAAAATGAGCTGGCATGGAAACCAACCCACAATGCAGAACACACAATAAAAGGCATGCAAATGACAAAGCTCAGCTCCCCACCTTTCCACAACTTGAGAAATGCACCAGAAAGTCCCAAAACAAATGGCTCCAAAACTCGATGCAAAAGCCGCTCCAACAACTCCACACTCAACGCCACATGCTACCCACAGACTGCAGCTTATAGCGGTGCTCTAAACCTCCCAGGCGCAATGCATCCTGGGGAAACTTGCTTTGTATTGTGAAGAAAATGTGTAAACCAAGGCATTATGTTCAATGAATTTTCATTTGTAAATCGAAAATTATGTTAACCGAGGCGTTTGTAAACCACTGTATATTACAATTGCCTATATTCACAAAACTCAAGGTACTAATTTTTTGTGCTATCGCAGTTATTAAAAATTAATAAAAGAAAATTACGACGCAATTGCTTTCCTTAAAAGGATTCTAGAGTGCCAGGAAAACAAACTAATTTTCCTGGCACTGTATTTTTCCCCTGTGTCAAGGCCCCCTCCCGCGGCACTGAAGGGGTTAATAACTCGCATTAGGATCTCCCCATAGGAAATCATTATTCATTGCTTTCCTATGGGAAAAATATGACGCTGGAAGTCCTCATGCAGAGTGTGAGACGTCCAGCGTCAGATAACGGACCAAAAGTCTGTTTCAATTCTGGAAGTCCCTCTAGTGGCTGTCTGGTAGACAGCCACTAGAGGAGGAGTTAACCCTCAGAGGTAATTGTTAAAGTTTATAAAAATTGCAATACTTACCACTGCAGGGTTAAGGGTGATAGGAGTTTGCACCCAAACCACTTCAAAGAGCTGAAGTGGTCTGGGTGCCTACAGTGTCCCTTTAATGGGTCGCAACACAAACCCAAAAGGCAAATCTGACTGTGAGTCACCAGGAAGAATAACAGAGGAAACAACATAACAGTGGATGCAACTAATAGTGGACTGCCAGAAAGCATAGAAATGTCAAAGTGCATTTAAATCAAAGTACTTGAGTATACTACATTGAATTAATGAATCCATGGAGATAAATACTGCATTTAGGTGTGACTATCTCGATAATTGCTTTTCAGAACTTCCACTGGAACTTTATACATCAGATAATAATAATACAATAAATAAAACAATTAGCTTTACGTTCTTGACAGTTGATTTCTAACTCTTCAAGTAGTGCAATAAATATATCTGTGATACATTCGTAGCTGATAAAGTGCACATATTTTACTGTTTGCCGCTGCTTACCTTTAATTCACCAACTAACTGACTACCATTGGCATTAATCTAACTCAAACATAAGGCCACTAATGTGGAAAGCACATTCCACTGGCTATTCAGACATCACCTACAAGTAAATATGATCGATCAAATTCTTTGCAGAATACATATTTTTATTATATCTTTTCTTTGCATTTATCAAAATGTAGCACTTTTCTTAGGCACCTGCCTTACAAATAGTCTCAATCGGGCTTCTGTTTGTTTAAATGATTTTACCAAGAGATGTATTTCTGTAATTTTTCAGCTTTATCAGTATAAATAGTTTTCTCAATGCTTTATATTCATGTATTTTCTATATTGCTTCTTTGCAGGACGAAAATATAAAACGGCTCTAATCACTACACTGCAGAGTTGTTGTTTTTCTTGCAGGCACAAAGAGAGTTCTCGTTACATTTTATTTTGATGAACAAATAATGTATGTTAAGTTTTTTTATGACTCTATTGCACTGTATCATACAGTTTAACTAGTTGGAACATTCTCAGTTATTCACATATTTTAGTGTCATTACTAATTTCAGGTCAGCTTAGTCTTAAAATGCTGTCTTCCATTATTCTTACTCTTTCTAGTTCTTCTGTAGCTTTGTCCACTGTACTCATAGTGAAATGACTAACAAATCGACAAAGAAGGTAAAACAGCAATCCCATTTTCTTCAAATTATGGAATGAAATGAACTCTATTTAAGCTTGTAATCATTTTAACATGAAACACCTTCATGGGGGTGGGGCCTTGCTACCAAGCAGCCAATCTCTCTCCTTGAAGGTATACTGAACACTCTCTGGTCACCACTTTCCCCTCCTTTGGACCAGTAGTGGTTATTCCAGTCTCCACTGTGCCAGTTTGGTGCAGCTCTACAACTTGAATCTGCCTGTGAACCTCCATCTCAGACATGAGGCCTAATCAAATATACAGCAAAATGGCTGACGCACATGTACAGACCATGCGGGGCTTGGCGCCAAAACCGATCTGCCTGATGAGCTTACCCCACTCGTTGATCAATTCTGGGGGAAGCTGGAATATTGCATATAGCACCTAATTCTCAGTCTGCTAAGGAAGATTGGAGGCATAGTGGGGACCGACCGGGCAAAGCAACTGCCAAAACGACACCCTCTCCTACTGTTTGCCCATCTAGGCCGAGAGCCTCCCGGGGTTCAACCCACAGAGGATTGCTCAACACCTACAAGGATGGCGACATAGGGCCCTACGCTGTACCCCACTGAGGAAGGACTTGGTCTCAGGAAGTCACGAGTCTGTGAATCAGTGGTACCGGCTCTTGGATGGGCCTGGGGTTGGAAGGGCGCATCATCTGGGCTCCACTACGTGCCCTTCTCAGGCAGACTGGGATACTAATCACACATCCTACCCACTCAAGGAACTGGGTGACTGCCTTTCTATGAGAGCTGACATAATCACCAGATGCCGAGTCATAGCTCCTATAGCAGCTGTTGTTTTTTACATTTTTCTTTTATGCAAATATTTTTAATGGAAAATATGCAAGTCGTTTTGAAAGTTTTCATACTTACATAAAAGTTGAAGTCACTCAAACTGACATTTTTGGGCTCCTAAAACTGCTTATATAAAATCGATTTGAACTGTTGAGAGATTAATCTGGAGCCGAAAAGTCACCGTTATCACTTTTTGGTTGATATTAAATCAACCTCTATGCTACATGTCTGATGCAAGCGTTCTTCTGTACAGCCTTTGTGGACCAGTGTTTTTAGTTTCTAGTGTGGGTAGATATCAAATGATTATCACCTTGGCCTTGTATTTGTGGCTTGCTTTTCCTCAAACCATCTCCTTTTATGATAGGGCTCTGGCCTTCCATGTATTTTGTCTGCTATAAACTGAAAAAGTACTTCCTTCCTTAATCAGTTGTAATTGGAATTCACATTAACTATGCTTATTAACATATGTCTGCCCTTAACTCAACAGAAAAATTAAGAATGTCATAAATTTAGAAATACTTTTGTTGATTGACCCAGCTGACATTTCCTTACCACCCCTAGGTCCTCCACACAGGATTGTATCTCCTTGCATAGTGTCTTTTCTATGTTTATATCAATCACACCTTTGTATTAATTTTTTATTTTTCTCATATTGTTTCTTCCTTGATCCCTCTGTGAAGGATGCTTATTTGAAGATATATTTAATTTTCACATGTATGTTACTTCGCACCACTTTGCTGACTTTCTAGAATTCCAAAATACAATAAAATACAAATGATTGTAAAAAAAAAATCCAGCCCTTACTATGATCAGAGAAACTAACATATAGCCCTAAATCATATTCCTATCCTTTTATCAATACATGCTGAATTCTGTTTCAAGGGGTGAATTTAACACTAGTAATTGGATAGATTAGTTTTTATGAAGACTGCAGTAGGAAAGATGTTGAGATAATTATACACAATGGTAACAGAACCCAATCCATGGTCTCCAGGGCAGAACAAAATATTCAAAATAAGGTTTAAATAAATGTAATATATAACATTTATTGATATGTAATGTTTATGATATTATTTCCAATTATCTTTAGAGAGAACACAAACACATTATATCAGGGTACAAAGGTACCGATCATGCGTCTGTAAGTTGCCCATTGTACATTGAGGCCTTTGTCCCTTTGTTACATCTTTTTTATTAAATAACCAAGATGAGCTATGCTATGCTTCTGTCTTTTTACAGTAGGAAAGCTAAAATAAGTGTTCCATGTAGACGGCAAGTCAGTAGAAAAGAATGTTTTACGTAAAATGGGAAGAGATCTTAAGTGGAGGTGTGTCTCTGCTTGATCTTCAGGTTTTTGCTCTTCGATGTTGAGTACAAGTTTCTGGGTGTCACCTTTTAAAATGTAGGGACATTCTTGGGAGGTTTAGGAGTTGTAATATAATGCAATAGGAAAGCATTTACAAAAGACAATTAAGTTATGTTACTGGAATTTATGACTAAGTATTAACTAATTTGTTGTCTTACAATCCAGAACTCGGGATATGGATTTTTGTTTTCAAGCATTACTAGTTAAATAGCAATTCTGCATACCACAGCTACCTGAAAAATGCCAAGAGATACAAAACAGACAATTGTACAATTATACAGCATATTAGCTAATGCATACTACTACTAATAATAATATGAACACTTAAAGGGAAGGTGAATTATTTTTTATTGGTTTGTCAAGAAAAAACATAGAAACATTGAAACATAGAAACATAGAATGTGACGGCAGATAAGAACCATTCGGCCCATCTAGTCTGCCCAATTTTCTAAATACTTTCATTAGTCCCTAGTCTTATCTTATAGTTAGGATAGCCTTATGCCTATCCCACGCATGCTTAAACTCCTTTACTTATAAATGTAACTCGAGCTTCCAGAATAATACGTGGATAGAAAAAGACCAAAAGAGAGAAAAGGTACAGAATGAAGAAAACTGCATTATGGGGTATCAAAGAAAAAGCAATTGCTGGGCAGACTTGACTGGACCACAGAAACACACATTCTACTGCTGGATGCATTTCACTTACTCTGTGAAAACCAGTTAAGTAAACCGATTTCCTAGTTCTTGAATTCTACAAGAATATAAGTCACAGGAAGGCATGCCCTCACTGATCTCATGTGATGCATATGACCAATCATGGTTAAATCAGAGGTCAACAGATAGGAAAGAGGAAGAATACGTGGGGTGAAGAAGGAGAAAGGACCCCTACTTGCTCTGCACATGAGTTAGCTTTCGCGTTGTGTGTCAGCACTGAATATTTTAAAGTGGCTCTGTCACTGAACTTACCCCATACTTTCTTCAAGTCCTCCCAACAGAGTTTAGTGGATCAGTGCATCTTATCTTTTTCCAAGTCGTGTCTGGTCCTGCCTAATCTTCTTAGCATTTCCAAGATGGCAGTCGCTGGAAATCTCTGCCTCTACCCTTCCGAGAGTCAACACAGACAACTGATGATGCAACACTTCTGGAAATGGATATCCAGCATCAGTAAAATACCCATAGGAAAGCATTGCAGCTGGGTTGGGGTGACATACATAAAGCCCATGTGCGGGCACCTGTAAGGTAAATTTTGGAGTATCTTGACTGCACTGCTTATAGACGAGATGGTCAATTGCATCGGGAGGCTTGCATGTACACCAATATTAATGCCTTTTCATACAGCCTTATCCACTCAATTTGAAGACAGAACTCATGGTTCTTGGTGGATCAACATCTCCTGGCTCTAACATGTCCTCTCCTTGCAATCCCTAGGGGTAGTGCAGTGCCGTTGTGAATCACCAATATCAAGAATATAAATTCAAACAGAATAGAAAGTTGCAGCATGGTTACTCTGGTGTTTCTAACTGTTTAATGCCCACTTTACCACCATTATGTCTGGGCCAGCAACGATAATATCTCTTTTCTGTATCTTTGATATTTTCAAGAAAAATGGTTATGGGTTGTTATCACAGTCTAGACATTGGACAAACCCAAACTTTACTGATACAACCATTCACTGCTGCCATTTAAATATCATTGTTTAAAGGTCATCAAGGGCCTTCAATATAATTTATTTTACAGTAACTGTATAATTAGATTGTATTGACTTGTGTTTAATAGATTATTTGGGGATATTAACTGCTGTCAGTAAAATTAGTAATTAACCTTAGCAAATTGACTACTAAACATCATATAAAAAGCTGAACACAGAACATAAAAGTTCATAAACTGCTGTGAAGCAGACTGAATAGTATACAGAGTGACACGTATTGACATAGCTTGATTTATTTTTCAGCCTGTCCATTTTTTAAAATAGTAATTGCATTGTAAAATAAAATATTTTATATACGTTTGTCCCTTTAGCTCTCTTTTCTATACAGCCTTTTATTCAACCAGCTTTCACTCAATATAATAAAAATACTTTAAGCGCCAAGTATCTTTGTGGGATATCATGGTGAGAGTCAATTGAGGGAATTCATTTTCTTGAGACACATACATGTATTGTAAAAAAAATTATTAAATATGATTTGTGCACTTCTTGAGACTTCCACTAGACTTGTGCAAAAATGTTCTCATCCCATTCAAATTCCTTTAAAAGGGACACTATAGTCACCTGAACAACTTTAGCTTAATGAAGCAGTTTTGATGTATAGAACATGCCCCTGCAGCCTCACTGCTCAATCCTCTGCCATTTAGGAGCTAAATCCCTTTGTTTATGAACCCTAGTGTTCCTTTATTACAAAGCAAGAGAATGTATTGCCTGGGATTTACAAGTGGAGTCTTATTCATTTTAATATGACTTTTCTCTTATCTGGGTCATTGGCTAAGAGTTTCTGCTGAGTACTCTCAGTCAGTTAGTAAACAACGAAGTACAAAATCAACATTAGCCGGGCTACATCATAAAATTGTCCTACTGAAATGCTGCACATACCGGATCCTTGCACCACGACCACTTCAAAACCACAAAGTGGTCATGGTGCTTGGTGTAATTCTTTAATATCAGAGAACTGGTAAAACAAAATGTATGTTGCTAAAAAAAAAAAAGACACATTTTGTGTTTTTCAACACAAAATATTGAGCAATAAGTAAATCATGAATGTAGACGCATTACAAAATTACTATTTTCATATTTCCCGATACTTTGATGTGTTCAGTCCCCAAAACATCAAAAGCAGTAGGAACCCTGGCATAAAATCTTAGGAGACACAATAATATGAGTCAATAAATAACTGACTCATAATAAAAAGGAGACAATACATAATTCTAAGTAAAATATTACATTATTGTTATTATTTATTTATGGCAAAATAATGTATTGTTTTATGGAATAATCAAATGTTTATTTTTAATGCAATTGAAGTCATGCAAATACTTTAAAATTCATATAGTTCCTTGAATTCTGTCTCAGTTTCTACTCCAGTGATACTCAACTTATGTACTACAGATTACATTTGGTACCCAGAATCTTTCAAGGCAGACCTCATGACTATCCAAGTGTAACAAAATGAGTATACTGTATACTGTTAGGTAATAAAAATAAATAATAATAATAATTATTATAATAATAATAATTTAAAAAAGAGATTGTAGAGTCTGGTTTGGTGGTCCACACAACCAAGGGGCTTTAGTCTTTTAATATGAGAAAATCAAAGAAAAAATGGAAATATACAAAAGATAAATAAAAAGTAATGTCTTTAATTGAATTAATTTAAAATGGCAATAGTAGCCACCTGAGTAACACCCAGTAGTGTTAAATTGTGTGCAGTAGGGTATTGCTAAGACCAATTTGTTTTATTTCATGTAATTATTGTAAATATTGTTAAGTAGTTTGTACACTTTTAGGTATTGGTTATTTCATTTTTATTTTTTCTGTTTTGGTTTGGCTTCATCAGTCATTTGAATAATCCTCCCTTTTGTGATATTTATCTGGTTCATTCCAGATTTTTTTTTTTTATTCATCTTCTGTTATTTCCACTTTTTTTTCTTTTTCTTTATTTTCTCATATTAAACAGCTTAAATCCCATGGACCTCTGAACCGACTATACCAGATTCTAGAAACTCTTTTTTTTATTATTAATTTTTGTTATTGTTTAATTAATTAGGGTTTTACTATCCATATTTTGTGTTCTTACCGTACTGGTGCTTTGCTACATCTTGCCTCTTTTTTCCTATACCAACAAATCATTTAATCTATGATGGAGTATCGATAAGAACCTTCCTATTGATTTAGTTGTGAATTTATTTCCTTCATAGCCACGCAATATCTGACCTTTTGGCATCAGCGGTGGATCCTAATATATAGCATTAAGACTTGCTCAATGTGTTTACTACTGCTCCACTTGCACAAAATATATTGCGTGAACCATCCAGTGTTAATTAAGCTTTTTTTAAGAATTCAAATTTTGTGTAGAAAACAGATCATTACATGGTGGGAGATTAATAGACCGGAATCATATTTAGAACAAAAAATAATAATAAAACAAAAAATATTTAGAACAAAATATAATAATAAAAATTTAAACATTATACAAAAAATATATAAACATAAAAAATGAAAAAATGTGCCCTCACACATTTCTTTTTTAGATTATACTGGTGGATTTCTTTTAACCACTCCTTTGAATCCTTCTGACCTCACATTTGTGTTCTTTCCACATTTTTTTATTTTTTTGTGTTTATATATTTTTTGTATAATTTTTTAAATTTTATGTTTAACTTCTATTTTGCACATTTTCTATGCTTATGTGTACATATAATTGTATATATACATTTACATATTATTTTGTTTATGTATACTGCATGCTTTACCTAAAGATTACCACATGCTACTATAAATAAGATTATGACACATGTTTTATTTATTTTTATGGTATGCCGGATATTTTATGGACTTTATACCAAGTTGGCAGCTTGAGAATCCACATATTAGCGCTCGAGTTGGAACGCAAGCGCATTTGCCGGTCTCCATGGTCACGCACATGCGGTCCGAAGTGAGGCTTGGAACGCATATCGCATCAAACGAACAACACCTGCTGATGGCATCCGTGGGGGATGGCATCGGGGGATTTAAAAACGGAGCCCGACGGCAAACAGAGATTCACTTACAGGAGACTGTACTTTTTTACTGTAATTTTCCCCCTGAAGTCTGAGAATCCTCCTATATCAGACGAAACGCATAGGGTTGGGCTCTTGTGGAGTTTTTAATTTGTATTTATTGGTTTGATTTGTTTGATTATTCAATAAATGTCACTTTTAATTGGAGAAATGTTTTTTGCATTCGATCCAATAAGACTGCTGGCGGACTGCTGCTGATGACCATTGTGTCCTGGGATTTGATATGCCTGTATATCATTGCAATCTTGTAAGTGTTTCCAACTTAAAGCGCACTACCATGTTATAATCAGTCTGCATTTATTATTATTTACTATTTCTCTCCTACATGCCCATTTATGTGTGGAAGACTTTCTGCCAACTTTAATAATTGATGTGCCTTCAATCAACTTTTGTTTGTGAGTGCAACCTTAATACTACTATATGGTGTGTTTACGATAGTACACTATGATTTTTATTTTATTCCTACTGTAGATCTAATATTTGAATATATTAGCTGAGACCAATGAGCTGTTGGAGAAGTAGATTGAGGGAGCTAATCATTCAAAGAAGATCCTTTGTATGGGTCAAAGGAAACTAAATTTAAATCTACTATTGAAGCAAATAGGAAATATCTAAAAGAAAAGAAGCACAGAACATTTTAATGTGACTATCAAGATTTCCAAGAAGATAGAATTTTTATGTCAAAGAGAAATATCTTACAGGAGACCCAGAAGGGTGCAATCAGGGTCAGATGCGTCAGCAGTCAGCTCCAACTGAGAATAGTGGCAGCAATACTGAACAGAGCAATGCAAGCAGCTCAAAAATCAAATCACAACAACCGAAGGGTGTTTTAAGGTCTTAACCTAATGTTTCTTTTTTAGAAGCTGAAATAAACCATCCATGGATGGTTATGGATCTATGCTACAATTGACCCATATCTTCAAGAAGACTACACTATATGTCCACACTGTGATATACAAAACTACATGTATTAAAGGGCCTTTCTGAAATTACGCAGAATTATGTTTTCTCTCATTTTCCTCCTCATTAGCCCTTTAACCATTTCGTTTTTTTTAATAGGTGTTTCACACTTATGTTGTCCCTATTTCTGTTTTTTGTTTTTGCAATAAAGTTGTGCTATTTATAATTTATTATGTTAAAAGGGACCCCTTTGGGGCGGGGCCTGACCTTCATGGAGAGAAGTCGCATGTCGGCTGAGCTCCGAGCTGAAAGCGGCAAAACTCGAGCAAACGACTATAAAACAGACGGTGCACCGTCAAAAACTAAACATCCCCCTGCAACACCAATATGGGGAAACGATCAAAAAAACCGAAAGCTTCCTCGGACGACGGTACACGTCGAATAGGAGACATATTCCTGGCGAGGCCTAAAACCAAAATGGCGGCAGCGCCAGACTCCCCAGGCCTATCCTCGGACGAAGACCCACTGGACTCCCCAGATGCCATACCTGAGGCAGATGACCCTTTCTCCGCCGTGCAACTAGGGGACCTGGGGGCTCCCGCAACTAAGGGAGACATCCTGGGCCTCCTGAAACACCTGCGCACATGGTTCCGCACGGATATGGCGCTACTCCGCGAGGAGGTAACAGCCGTAACGGACAGGGTGAAGGCCACAGAGGAGGACATCACCTCCATGGCACAACGCCAGACAGACGCAACAGAACGACTACAACAACTCCACGGCTCACACCAGGCCCTGCAGGCCAGAGTCGATGCGATGGACGACTCCAGGAGACGAATCAACATAAAAGTAAGAGGCATCACGGAAACTGTCAACGACACCGAGCTACCCCACTTTACTAGACGCCTCCTGTCGGAAATCCTGCACCCCAAACAGGCAAAGAACCTGCAACTAGATGGAATACTCAGACTCCCCAAGTCCCCAAGGGCTCCGGCGGACGCTCCCCGTGATGTCCTCCTGAGGTTCCAGTCCCTACGCGACAAACAAGCAACGATGGACGCCATCAAGAACAAGGGCCCACTCAAATTTGAGGGTTCACAACTAACCTTTCTCCAGGATCTCTGCAGGGCAACGTTGGAGTGGAGACGCTCCCTCAGCCAGGTCA